TCTAGGAATCCCGGCGCAAGCCATCGTGCATCTCGTTATACTAGGGCAGCCAGGCTCATCCACGTCTGGATATTCGGAGTGTAAAGTTTATCCTCCCGTCTTGGAGAGCTGACCCATATGGGTGTCAGAGAATTGGTTTACCCTCTCGCACTGGAGAGCATGGTTGGTCCCTCGGGGGGCGTAATTCCTGCGATGAGTCCCTAAGAAATGCGCAGTCTTCTTTTGAAGTGCAGGAGTGATTAGTTGTTGTAAGCATGCAGCCAAGCCAAGTTGTGATTACTTCTAAATTCCTCATTGAAAAACGAGTGAAACGAACGAGAACTTTAGCTGTAAGGTAGGAACTGCATAACAACTGGATAGTCCTCAGCTTGTGAGGTGGTGCCCGTCGAGCTTATTGAGTCTTCGGGTTTTGATGTAGCGGAAGGTCACACATGGTACTTCTTCAGATTGTAGGCCATCCATTTCTTTTCAATCTTTTTGCCGCTTCATGGTGGTGAGGGTGTAATTACTTTTGCCCCCTACTCTGCTGATCTTGTACGGACCTTCCCAGATGGGATCCATCTTTTTGGAGCCTTCTCTGCCGGCAGTGATGAAGGCTTTTTTGCGTCGTCGACATGCAAATGCCAGAAGTCTCCATCGGGTGGAGTAGGCGCAGCTAGAGTGTGCTCGGCTACTTCTGAGGCATTGTTGGGCCGCTCTATTGCGTCACCTAGGCTCGGCGTGAAGACGCAGTAGGGAGCTGTGGAGATGGGGCCATGTCATACGCAACAGGAGATGCTCAACTGCCGGTATTGGGCCACTCTAGAGTTGAATCATTGAGCAAGGGTCGGCTAGGGCCGTGTGATGCACAGCAAGAAATAGTACTCAACTGCCGGTACATGTTGCTCCTATGTAGAATCTTTTAGGGTGAAGAGGATAAAACTTGCTTTCGAGTGTGTCCTTCCAGTGTTACGTTCGTCAGAAAACTTTACATCTGCCAGGGTCTATGCCTTTATCGTCGCGCGTCTGGATTGGGCAGAATAGTACGTCATTAGGATGATTGCATGCGTTTGAAAGTAAAACTTGTGCTTCTGGGTTGCAACAACTATCGCCAAAGTTAGCTTTTGAATTTTTAATAACATCGAGGAGAGCTTTTGAACTGTAGAATACAGGTAACTGTGGAATACAGGTAGTTGGGCCCCTATCTCTTCTCGCATGATTACATCTGCCAGGGTCTATGCCTTTATCGTCGCGCGTCTGGATTGGGCAGAATAGTACGTCATTAGGATGATTGCATGCGTTTGAAAGTAAAACTTGTGCTTCTGGGTTGCAACAACTATCGCCAAAGTTAGCTTTTGAATTTTTAATAACATCGAGGAGAGCTTTTGAACTGTAGAATACAGGTAACTGTGGAATACAGGTAGTTGGGCCCCTATCTCTTCTCGCATGATGGTAGAGCTTATTGCTACTTTAGATACCGTCAAACATGTGAATAAGTCCTCCGCTGCTTCTAGGGAGGTGATGTCGGGTACTTCTTCAAGTCCTTGAATGTGCATTGGCGAGCCTTATCCCAAAGTGCATACTTCTCTGCCAAAGCAAAAGAGTCTGCCAGAGTTAGATATTCTTTCATGATCAATTTTCCGAATAGCGGGTGGTCTGCTGGAAGTCCTTTTTGGAAGGCTGCTCTAGCTATCGAGTCGTTGCATCCGACTATTTTTGCCTTCTCTACTTTGAACCTCCTCACATAGTCGCGAAGTGACTCCTTTGGGTTCTTCTTGACGTTGAACAAATGATCAGATTTCTTTTTTATCGAGCGATAGGATGAATATTCTTTGGTGAAAACCAAAGAAAGTTCGTAGAAATTCCGGATGGATTATGGCGGCAGGGTGTAGAACCAATCTTGCGCCTCGCCTTGTAGAGTGGTGGCGAATATCTTGCACATAAGCTCGTCGTTGTTTCGATAAAGGATCATTGCGCTTCGGTAGCGCTTTAAGTGTCTCTCCGGGTCTTCATCCCCTTTGAAAGATGTGAAATGTGGCATGCTGAACTCTCGTGGAGGCTCTGCCTGCTCGATCTCGTCCGTGAAGGGTGACCTGCTTATGTTGGTCATGTTCCGTCGTAGTGCCTCGTCGGTGACCTCGTTGCGTTGGAAATCAAGCAATCGCTTGGTCAATAGTCTCTCTACTTCTTCCTGAATTTGCCTTTGTTGGGGTAGCGGAGCTCTCGACTGCCCCCAGCCATGACTTGCTGGTCTAGGCTGCTCTTCCATGTGTTTGGCTCGTCTACGCCGCAGATGCAGTGCATGTGGTGCGTTCCTAGCAGGCGAGCGAGTTATTCACAGGCTGCTGGTTGAACTTGAGCTGGATTGAGTGACTGCTTCTCTCCGTCCGTCGTGCTGCCTACTCTGATGTGAGGTGGATGATGCTTCTTGTGGGCTTAGCCGCGAATGAACACTTTGTCCGGAAGGTTGCTCATGTTGACTATCGGAGTGTGACCCCAACCGTGAATGTATGCTCATCCGTGGGCCTAGTCGAGAGTACACGCTCCTCCGCGCGCTAAGACGGGAGTATACGCTATCTCGGGGGCCCAATCGGGAATGTACACTGCCTGAACGTTCGGCTCGTGGCTGGTCGAATGGCTGCTTGCCGGGACGCTGCTGGAAAGGTTCGTCTGCCCTTGTCCTACTTCGGGATACCTCGTCCGGGGCACGTTGGATCCCGATGCGTTGCAAAAGTTGATTCACCAAAGTTGTCTGTTGTGCAAGGGCGCTCGTCAACTCTATGACTTGTCGAGACAAGTGTTGTTCGCCATTTGGATTGGAAGAGCTTGGAAGGAATGCGCCTCCTTGGGCAGTGGAAATGTGGTAGACTCCGGGAGCGAGATTTGAATTGGGAAATGTCAAATCCACGAAAAAATATGGTGAGAATGCCCCCGGCTCGATGGTAGGTCCGGATGGTTGAGATAGTCTTGGGCCGACTTGGGCTGCTTGGAAAGCCACGGAAGCAGGCTGGGCCGTGAGAGTAGGCTGCTCGAAAGAAGCAGGCTGGACCACGGGAGTGGGTTGCTCGTCGGGGAGCAGGCTGGGTCACGAGAGAGCAGGCTGCTTGGCAGGAGCAGGCTGGGCCACGGGAGTGGGCTGCTTGGCAGAAGCAGGCTGGGCCACCGGAGTGGACTGCTCGACGAAAGCAGGCTGGGCCACGGGAGTGGGTTGCTCATCGGGAGCAGGCTGGGTCACGAGAGCAGGCTGCTTGGCAGGAGCAGGTTGGGCCGTGAGAGTGGGTTGCTCGTCGGGAGCAGGCTGGGTCACGAGAGCAGGCTGCTTGGCAGGAGCAGGCTGGGCCACGGGAGTGGGCTGCTTGGCAGGAATCGGCTGGGCCACCGGAGTGGGCTGCTCGACGAAAGCAGGCTGGGCCACGGGAGTGGGCTGCTCGTCGGGAGCAGGCTGGGTCACGAGAACAGGCTGCTCGGCAGGAGCAGGTTGGGCCGTGAGAGTGGGTTGCTTGACGGAAGCAGGCTGGATCACGGAAGCAGGCTGCTCAATGCGCGGTGCATGTGAATGCGAGGCTTGGGCTTGGGTCCACGTAAACTTGGATGGCACGGCTTGGATCGTGGTCTTGGTACCGTAAGCCTTGGATGGCACGGCTCGGGCCGTGGTGAAGGCTCTATGGACCTCGCCACGAGTGGCTACCGAAGTAGCCACCGCGGTGGTTCCCATGGTGGCCGTGGTGAAGGCACCATGGACCTCGCCATGGGTGGCTACCGAGGTAGCCACCGCGGTGGTTCCCATGGTGGAAACTCGTGGTGGTGATGCCGCTCCCCTTATTGTTGCATTTTGCCTCACAGATCTCCGGGCCGTGGTGAAGGCTCCATGGACCTCGCCACGAGTGGCTACCGAAGTAGCCACCGCGGTGGTTCCCATGGTGGCCGTGGTGAAGGCACCATGGACCTCGCCACGGGTGGCTACCGAGGTAGCCACCACGGTGGTTCCCATGGTGGAAGCTCGTGATGATGATGCCGCTCCCCTTATTGTCGCATTTAGCCTCACGGATCTCCGCAATCCCATTTCTTGAACATTAGAATTTTCACTTGTGGAATTTTCTAAATTTCTAGCCATTATATTTTGCTTATACGTTTTATCAAAGAACCTTTGCAAGTAAAAAATTCTAATAATAAGAACGTATGAAAAATATTCAAATGGACTAGAAAATAAAGAAAAAAAAAACTTTTTTGTGCGAGAGTCTTCTACGAGTATGGATTTCAACTCTCAATGAAAGCACCAATTTGTGGATGCAAATTTCTTCCTCCTCGATCTTGGACGATTTTGCACCTACAAAACAATTAACACCTTAGGTTAAGGCCAAGAGCCTCACGCGCCCACGATGAATGGGGGGGCTTTGGCCGAAGAACCTCCGATGCCAAAGTTAGAATTTAGAGAGAAAGAGTGTTTAGAGAATTTTGGGATTTTTGCCAAAGTGTTGGAATTAGCTTTTTGGTGAGAATGTGAGTATATTTATAGGGATAGGAGGTGGCTAGGGTTTTTAGGTTTAATTAGCCAATTTATTTGGCTATTAAACATAAAATGAATGTTTTGGTGGTTTTTTGTATAATTGGCTAATAAAAAGGAAGAAATGGTGGGAAAAGGTAGAAAAAAAGGTAATGGATTAGGTTTTTCAATGGGATAGCCGGCCCTCTTGTGTTTTTAGGTTTGAGTGGATGTTTCAAATTGACAATTAAGGGATTGATTAGGTAATTAATCCCTTAATTAGTCAATTATTATGATTTTATGAAATATGAAAGGAATAAGTATATTATTTAGCTAATTGATTAGCTAAATAATGAAATGGGAAATATATGAATAAATTAGGTTTTAAGTTGATACCTATTTTGGGCACTTTTGACTTGGTTGAAAAAATGATTCTCTACTGCTCGCGTGTAGGAAACCCGATATGCCTCGAGGGTATTTTTGTCCTCTTTTGTCCAAAAGTCCACGTGTCGCCTAGTGAATATTTTTGGCTCCACAAATGGCGCCAGACTTGCCAAGGTATGTGGTGTTACAATCAAGGTACAATGCCGAATACTTGAGCTACGTCAAAGAAGATGAGCAGATCCATGGCTTTCTCAAATTCTCCGGAGAAGAGGTGGTGAGTACGTACGCAAAGTTCCATGTGGAGATGGCAAAGAGTAGCGGAGCTACTAAGGGACTGGTACACATAAGATGCTGCTACAACAATAAATACTGGGTCAGGAGGTTGCAAACCCATAATTGGATCGTCGCCGGCGCTGACGAACCCCTGGAGGATGAATCCAAATGGTCATGCACCTTGTTCGAGCCAGTCTACGTGGACGAACACGATCCTGCTCAAGGCGTCCGTTTTCGTCATGTCCAGCTCCGGAATTATCTTGCTTATGGCGCAATAGCCCGCCCTACGATTCCTGCTTAATTGCAGCAAGTGGGGCGTCCAACAGCGACTTATGCGATGCGTGCTTGATCGTTAATTGGGACTCGCTGTTGGTATTGCCCAAATATATAGCCCTCAAGAGCAACAACGGGAGCTACCTCAGCGCACAGTGGATCGAGCGGCACCCTTACTTGCAGTTCAAATCCGATGACATTGGAGATCCCACGGTGGGGAATGAGGTCTTCCACGCTGGGGATGGAAGCGTTCGCATAAAATCCAATCACCATGGAAAATTCTGGAGGCGAAGCCCTAACTGGATATGGCCAGACTCAGAGCTTCATGATAATGAGAACAACAAGGACTTGTTGTTTTGGCCTGTCAAGCTTGACGGTAAGTTCTTGGCTCTCCGCCGCAACTTGGGTAACAACTTTTTTCTGCAAGAGTCTCAGAGGGGGGGGGGGGAATATAACTGTCTCAACGCTGCCGTCCCCACCATTACCCAAGCTGCACGCTTGGAACTGGAAGAAGTGGTTGTGTCGAGAAGCTTCTACAATGTCAACTTTCACGTCTTGGATGCGAGGGTGTATAACCAAAGAGTCGTCACCATGGCCACCGGAGATGCCATTAACCGAGCAAAGGAACAAAACACCGTAGACATGAAGCTCTCGTACAAGGAGATTAGGAGCAGTACTTGGAACACAAGCGTGTCATTCAAGTCAGGCATCAAGACCACAATGGAAACCGGGGTTCCTTTAATTGCACATGGACAAATCGAAGTGTCGGCCAAGCTGAGGTGGAGACTCTGTGCGTGGTCATTGTGCCACCAATGACTACGGTGAAAGTGAATCTGGTAGCGACCATGGGTACGTGCGATGTCCAATTCTCCTACACTCAACGCGACACGCTTACTAATGGCGAACAGATTACCTACAACATGGACGATGGGGTTTACACCGGTGTCAACCCCTACAACTTCAAATATGAGACTATACAAGAAAGCCTGTGATGATCGATCTATATTTTGTATGTATCAAGAATTACGTAGAACTCCAGTATATTTACCTAATTAAAAAAAGAGGAGTTGATGAAATAAATAAATTTTATGGATCTTGTGTTGATTCATAACATGCACGTAGGTTTTGTAATTTGGTACGAAAATAAAGTGGTAGTTTTGATGTACTATATTTTACTGTACGTATTTTCTAATTTGTCTTAATGAAATAACAAGATGAGTGCCATGCAAATATCATATGTATGGCATTGCATTTGAAGCGTACAGAAGATCGAGGATTTGAAAAAAATTAACTTGTGATTATGTGTCCATATATTGATGAAGTTGGGCCTGGGAGAATTCAAACTTAATTTTGGAACTAATGGAGTTTATACTTTATAAACCATGCATTTAGACCAAAGGATCCATGGTTTCTCAGCTGATCTTGGGGTTGGGGAAGTTCTTCAAGCATCAGTTTTTGGTCGATTCCACGTTAAGCATCGTGGAAACATTGATAATACTCCGCCAAAATAAGGTAGATACGTGATTAAGGTTGGTTTGGAATTGTTTCTCTAGTAAGCACTTGGGTTGGAATTATTTTTATTATGTATATACATACAAAATTTTATTGAAATTCAAGAGTTTTTTTAAAAAGTATTTGGAAATGTTTTTAAAGAAGCATCTACTGTGTGTGTGTATATATATATATATATATATATATATATATATTTAGAAAACACTTAGAAAAATTAAAAACGCTTTTAAATTTTTTGTCTGCACTCATAATCGCTTTTGGTTATCCAATAACATTTACAACGCTTACTACAACAATCTCAACATGGGTTGGAATTATTTTTATTATGTATACATACAAATTATTATTGAAATTCAAGAGTTTTTTGAAAAAGTATTTGGAAATGTTTTTAAAAAGCATCTAGTGTGTGTATATATATTTAGAAAACACTTAGAAAAATTAGAAACGCATTTATTTTTTTTATAACATGCTTTCATAATCGCTTTTGTTATCCAATAACACTTTGCAACACTCTCTATAACAATCTCGACAAGATATTCCAAAGAGAGATACAATTATAAAAACGTGTCTATCATGTAGGTAATTATACAGTACTTTAGTATGAAATGGTTTTTGATGGGCTAAAATCAAAAGAAAGCATGAATAAAATTGGTTGACCGAACAAAAACTGGAATACACTTAAAATTATGTACTAGTAAATATGACAACGATGTATTTCATAATTGACACTATAGACATCGAAATTTCGATGAAATAAATGTTGACCAATAGTTACAATTTGAATGCTCACATGTCATATAAATTTTACACGTAGCGTGTGACTAAACGAAAAATCAAAATAAATCGAAAAAGTCATCAAGCAGGACACGTGTCAACACCTGGCAGAAATGATTTATTTCATCTGATTATTTAAACCCAAAAATCAAGTTTTGGAATTCTATAAATAGGAAGCCAAGGCATTTATTTGGAAAGGAATTCATAACCAATTCACCTCACACCAAAACCTTGAAACTTTGAAACTCCAAAGTTCCCAAGCAAATCCCGAAGGATCAAGAAAGCTCTCTTCGTTCTTCGTCAACCCAACCATCAAGATCAAGCCCCAACGGCCCTTTGAAGGAACTTTCTCCAATTCAAGATCAAGCTCCGACGGCCCTTGAAGAAAGCATTCATCCTTCATCATCCGTTCATCCTAAGATCAAGCCCCAACGGCCCTTTAAATCAACAACATCAACAAATCCACATATCCAACCATTCTTCAAGATCAAGCCCAAAAGCCTTGAAGATCTGTTCATCCATCAACCTTCAAGATCAAGCCCAAAGGCCCTTGAAGAAACTTCCCTCAACCTTCAAGATTAAGCCCCAACGGCCCTTGAAGAAAACTTTCGACCGTTCATCCAAGATCAAGCCTCGACGGCCTTGGATCAATCACACATCCACAAATCAACACCTTACGGAGATCGAATCAGAGGATCAAATTTGAGAGAGATTGTAACCCCTAAATCATTAATACAAATATTATTTTGTACACGTATTCTTGCCTCTTTCGTTTCAGGAATTTTCCGTGTTTACAGACACTCTTTACAACCTTACCATTTCATATGAATTCTATTTGTTTCTTATTAACAAATACAATGGTGTAGGATTATTTGTTCATATTTGAATCTAATGCTCAATAATCACAACAGAAATTCTATGGTGCTCTAGATTATAAGGTTTGAGCTTTTTATTCATTGGATCTTGACTTTTATGCTTTTTATCACTGTTCTAACAGTTAAAAAAATCATAATATTCAATACTTTGAAGCACTGTAGAAATCCCGTGACCATAGTACCTTGACATCACGACTTCATATATTGTGTTTCTCACATGTTTAGGCAGTTCAATGTCAAGCCCAGAAAGGCATATATAGATAAAGTTGTACTTTGCACACCCAAATTTCATCTTTCGGCATCCTTGTTTCTCTAGACACTTAATTTACTTTCACGCATTTCTTTGGACATTCAAAATAATTTACTAAATTTTTAAAAATACCTTTCTTTTACTTTTTATGAATCTGTCTATCTCTATCTCTCCATATCGACACTACATTTGTATGAGTTTCCTTGCAACAAATTGTATATTCCATTGTATATCTCTTTTTCGCACAAGCTTATTAGTTTTATCATAAGTTGTGAGCAGTTTGTGAGAGACATGAGTGAGCATGGTTTGAAAGACACCTGTAATTGGATGTTGATGATGCTACTAGTCCATGTTGCTTTCTGCACATTCTAGGTATTGACTGCAATGTGCATGCATTGTTCCACAATTTGGACTTTTTACTGCTTCTGGCAATGTTGTGTCTAGTCATTCTTGGATAGTTTGTGGCTTTTATTTTGTGTGTCATTTCTTGTACATTTCTGTTAGGAAAAATTAGTATCCGGTCACTAGTTCTTACTGTTCATTGACTTAGACCTTATTAGTTCTCAAATTTTATTCAAGTCCCTATCATTAATGTGATAATGAATTTACATGTGTATTATATAATTTTTTTAATATAAAAATTAGTAATTAATTTAGGGTTTAATACTCACACCTCTATTAAACTTCTAATTAATTTTCAATTCAAACATTTCGAAAATAATAAAAAAAATTAAATTAAATTAAGTTTGTACCTATTAGTTTTTTATATATATATATAAAAGATTCTCAATTTTTTAATCTTAAATGTACCCATTCATATAATTTTTCAATTTTTTTAATCTTAAATGTACCCATTCTCAAATATATCAATTTGTTATAGGTAAAATGTACCCTTTTTTTAATATAAAATCCATTCAAATTTTTTAATCCATGTTTAAACTTATATGGGTACATTCTTTTTCGTTGATTTGAGAATGTATCCATGTTTTGGTACAATAACTTTCTTTGTTAATTTTGGTTAATGTACCCATACATAAATGTACACACACACACAATATAATAAAGAGTATAATTTATATTTTATTATTTTTAACCCCATAAATTATGGGTTTTATTTAAAATCTCATTAATATAAACAATTACAAATTTCAATTTTTAATTTAAAAAATATAGTAACTTACATTATTACATTAATGTCAGGGACCTCAATCAAAACTAAAAACTAACAAGGTCTTAATCAAAGAATATTGATAGCTAGAGACCGTATCCAAAGTGTTCATTTCTTTTATATTCAAGCTGTCAAGAGTAAGGGCTAGGTCAATGACCAACTACTAATCAAATTAATATTGTTTTAACTTGACTACATATACAACCTGGCTTTTGGTTTTATCATACAAGGCCCTTGAGCATTATGAGTGGAATCACTCATATACGTTGTAATTTCAACACTGCTCCTCACGTGGGACCACGCCTTTAGTATGCCACATGTGCAACCAATTCATCATCAATAACTTCTTTTTTAAGTAGCAGAAGATTCGTCATCGAGCCAGGTCTTGTTCACAATTAGACTGGCTTGGGTCACAATTGGAACGATCGTTAGGTCCAAGTCAAAAGAAACTGCTACCATATGATGTCAAGACTTCAGAGTCAAGTCGGTGGTCCATTACTAATCACATTAATATTATCAATTTAACCATTGGCATAGTCTAACAATATTATTGAGTTTTATTACAAAAAAGAGTGGAATCATTTAATAAATTGTAACATATTATGTCAAGTTTCTAGTGTGAAATTATTCTTCAACAGATCCTTCATACACTCTTCTTCACCCTTCCTTTTGCTGTGTATTTCCCCTCTATCACTAAAACAAAAAGTAAAAACAAAAAATGAAACCAAAATATAGTTATCAGCTCTAAAATTTTTCCTTTAAATACAATTCCTCATCCCAGTGTGACACATGATTGACATTCCATTTTTATAAGCTTGGTGATGACTGATGAGTAATTGAAAATTACGCATGCACTCATGTGCGGTGACTAAACAGTACACTAGTCCCTTTTGATTAGGTCTTCTCAGCCATCAAAATTGCTTGTGAGGTGTAAAGAGGCGATGTTGCCGTGGATGACGATGACAGCTTATATCAAGTGCTACTGCAGATCAACTGCAGACCCACCCCAGACCCTCCCTCTCCCCCCAACCAAAAGAATAATAGTGGTTCGTGGTTGAACTAACGAGCTTTTTAGGGTTTTGGACGTAGCAACTTAGCAAGCATGGAGAGTTAGAGACGACAGAGGCGGTTGTTTTTTGAAGGTGAAGTAGGTTGGTCAAGAAAACCACTTTACTAGACTCGCTCACCAACGGACCAACCAACCTTATAACTACGGTAGGTACTGCCATGCCCCATG